GTGAGTCTGCCACAAAGTATTAATCTCTCTACAGCCTTGGGAACAAAGCTTTGAGGCACTTTCCACTTGGGGTTTTAGTCAGTCGCCGGTGCTGCGAGCACATTCTGTACTTGACATGGTGACCGGGTGTGTTCTGTTGGACGTGTGCCTAGGAGCGGTGCTGCTGGCCGGCTGAGGGCCGAGGACAGCTCGGGACCAGCTTCCGTGGGCAGGACCACTCAGGTCTGCAAAGCGCTGGCACCAACGTGCCATCCTGCCAGCTGAACATTCAGTAGCTACCTGTCCCAGTACTGCTGGAGTTTTCCCGCAATTCCAGTTAGCGTCCTGGTCAGTGTGTAGGATATGACCTGGGTTCTAATATGCATTTTCCTGATGATCGGTGAAGATAAGCACCTTTCACACATTTATCAGACATTTGGATGTCCTTTCTCTGTGTGGGAAGTGTCTGTCAAATCGTTTGCCCTTTTTTGGGGGGGGGGGTTGTCTACCTTTATATATTTCAGATGCAAGTCACTTGTCAGATACACATCATGAAAATATGTTTTCTCTCTCTGTGGCTTGCCTTTTCACTCTTAGGGTATACTTTGAGGAACAGACGTTATTAGTATTAATATAATCTAATTTATCACTAAAAGAGATGGGTGCTTCTTTATTTTTAAGAACAGTTTTATGTATATAGAGAAGGTGGCACATGGTACAGTTTCCAAAAACCCACCCCTCACGCATCCAGGGTCTCCTGTTATCACATCTTTCATTGCTGGGGAGCATCGGTTCTAACTGAGGAGTGGTATTGAGAGTGTTACCAGCCCAAGTGCATACTTTGCATGAAGGTTCACTCTGTGTTGCACCTTGTGTGGGCTTGGAGGCGTCTGCAATGTCCTGCACCCACCATGACAGTGTCACACGGAGTAGTCCCACCACCCAAAGAACTCTCTGAGCTCCATGTGTTCATCTCTCCCCACCCCCAACCTCTGACAACCACTGATCTTGACTGTCTCCTAGTTCTGCCTTTTCCCCAAGGTCCTAGCGTTGAGATCCCACAACATGTGGCCTTTTCAGACTAACTTCTTTTACTCAGTCACATGCATTTACGCTTCCTCCATGTCCTCTCTGGCTTGAGAGCTCATTTCTCCTTATCACTGAATACGATTCCACGGTCTGGACGTCCCAGTCTATCCATCACCGATGGAAGCGCATCCTGGTTGCTTCCAGATCTGGCCATTTGAATAAAGCTGTTATAAAGCTCTGTGTGCGGGGTTTTTCTGAGGACGTTAACTTTTCAACTTATTTAGGTAAATACAAAGGACTATGATTGATGGATCGCATGGTGAGAGTGTTTGGTTTTGTAAGGAGTCGCCACCCTGTCCTCCAAAGTGGTCCCCGTCCCCCACCCCAGCCGCGGTGGGAGTTCCTGCAGCTCCATGTCCTCCCAGCTCGGCGTTGTCAGGGCTCCGGGTTGAGGCCGGTCCCGTGGGTGTGCGGTGCTCCCTCGCTGTTATTTTAACGCACAATCCCTGTATGACATGAGTGCCTCTTCATATGCTCCTTTTCCCTCTGTACTTCTTTGGAGACGTGTCCCTTCAGTTCTTAATTGGGTTGTTCATTTCCTTATTGTTGGTTCTAACACATATTTATCAAATATGTGTTTTCCAGTCTGTGGCTTGTCTTTTCATTCTCTTAACAGTGTCTTTCAGTCTTTCTATTTTTTATTTTTTACAAGTTTGGCATTTTTTTTTATCTGTTCCCTGTTTAAACAAGTCTTTCTTGGTTCCAGGGTCACAAAGATAGTCGCCTTTCTCTCTTCTCCCCTGAAGGGTGCACCATCAACGTTTCTCTCTCTCATCCACCTGGACTTGAGAACGGTGTACGGTGTGAGGGAGGTTTCAGACGCTTCCATCCAACGGTCTCCCCGACGGAACGACAGCGGCCCGGCTGCGCGTCTGCGCGAGACTCTCCTTATGTTCTGCCATTATCCTTACTTCAGCACCACGCTGCCTCGAGTGCTGGACTTTTACAGGAGCCATTCTCTCTTAAACTCACCCCGCATGTCACCTCAAGGTCAAACTGATAAATCCAGTGGTCAAGGCCAAGTCCCATCGCCCACCTGCTCCCGCGTGGCATCTGTCACATGGCCACCCCTTCCTAGAGCTGTTCTTCACGGGCCTCCAGGCTCTCCTGTCCTGGGCTCTCCTGTCCCCAGCAGCTCCTGTCTCCTTTGCTGCCCTGCTTGGATCCATTAACCTCTTACGCTTGGGAGGCCCCAGGGGCCCCTTTATCTCTGTCCCAGTCAGCCCTTGATTGCATCCAGTCTCATTATTTACAAACTGCTGACTATCGATGACCCTCAGGCATCTATCTCAGCTTGGACCTCTCCCCTCAACTCCTAACTCCAACAGCAGCTGGCACTCAACAGGCACTGTATGTCCCCTGGATATCACCTCAGTGGGACACATCCAAAGCTGAGCCCCCGGCCTTCCTCCCAGGCCGCTCCTCAGTCAGTAACGTGCCATCCTTGTGGCTATTTGGGACAGGCCCCCTAGTCAGTGCTGAGCCCTCCATCGCACACCGTCTGTCCCATCCACTGGGAAATCCTGCTGGCCCTGCCTCAGAAGTGTGTCCCGGGGCTGACTCGTCTCCTCGGCCACGGCTGTCCAGCCACCACGGCCTCTCAGCCGGGCTCCCTCCCACCCTCAGCAGGGCGGCCGGAGTGATGCTGACGGAGTCCTGCAGCTCGCCCCTCTCAGAGACAAACCAGGGTCCTTCCTGGGGCTCCTCTCTGACCGCTGACCTCGTGTCTTCCTCCGCTTGTCTGTGCTCCGCTCAGCTGACTGTCCCCCACAAGGGGGGGGGGCTCTGAGTTTGAGTTCGTTGACCTTTCCCCTCCTTAGAGTCTGCTCACAGGAGGCGTCTCCCATTGCAACAGTCTCTTCCTGTCACTCCCTGCACCCCCCTGCCCCTGTTCACCCCGAGTTCTTGTCTCCGTCTAACTTCCTCTGTCAGCTGCCGTGTGACTTCTGTCTCAGGGCCTAGAGTGTGAGTTCCACGAGAGAGGAATTCCTGTGTGGCTCCCGTGAGTCTCAGAGCACATGATGGGTGCTGAGTGGGAGGGGTAAACGGATGCTTGGGGTCGCAGACAGACTGAACCACCAGGCGTCCGAGCGGAGGTCAAGGACAGTGGCCTCTAGCCCCCTCATCCCAGACTCATGGGGCAGCTCCTCCCTACTGGGCCTTGGTCCTCCCATCTGGAGTCCCCAGACCCTGGCCCACACCCACTTGGGGCCAGAGACCAGGAGCCATGTTCTGAGCCCCGGCCCTGCCCTGCTGATTTGGGAGCCCTGTTCCCTCCAGGCCTGCCTTTGGAAGCGTCCAGGCCCTGCAGTTCTGTGCTGGGCCCACTGCCTTTGCTGGGGGGAGGAGGGGTACCCCACATCTGGCAGAGTGCTGTGGACAGGGCCCTCTGGGACCCTCACATCGACCACACATGGGCGGACTCTGATGGGCCCCTTTGGCCTGTGAAAGAGCAGAGACCCCTGAAGTACCTTCCGAAGCCACAGGGTTTCTTGGGGAACAGGGGGCCCAGGCCAGAGCGGCTGCCTGTGAAGGGAACACGAGCTCTGCAGAGTGCTGGGTAGGACAGGCCGGGCCCAGCCTCTGCAGTCAAGTCCCGTGGAGCTGCCCACCAAGGGGCTCCTGGGCCCGTGGGGCAGTGCCTCCGGGACCCCGAGCATCCGTTTGTCCCTCCCACACTTAACTGTGGAGCACCATGTCCCGAGAACGGCCCTGGGTGCCGGGAAAATCGTGGGACAGCACGAAGAGGAGGTCTCTACTCTGTACTGAGTGGACTGGCAGGGGGTCTCTGCAGGGGGGCAGGGCCTGTCCAACCTTTGGGCCACCAGAGGGTCCCTTCTCAGCCACTGTGCTCGGGGGAAGGCCCAAGGATCTCTGCCCGGCCTGCACCAGCCCTGACACATGCGACAGGCTGCGTCTGGCCCCGACTGTCCACAGCCTCCGTGGAGCCTGCCTGCCTCCAAGCGCCTCTGTGACAGCAGACACTTGCTAGCACACTCGCCACTTAATTCTCTTCTTGATGTGGACCCTCCTTACAACGCCTGTCCAGATGCCTTTCTCCTTAAGGTTAACCCCTGCCCCTCCTCTGGCTGGGACTGGGGACCGGGGATGGAGATGTCCCTCTCCTCAGACAGCAGAACTCCTCTGCTCCTGACCCCAAGTGGAGCAGGAAGGAGTGGGTGGTGAGGCCCTGGAGGGAAGGGGTCACTGCGGCCTCAGTAGGGCCGAGCCCTGGAGGGAGCGAAGGGTTCACACTCCCAGGCCCTCCTGGGTGGCTGGACTGGGAAGCCTCGCTCCTTATTTGATTCCACGCCCAGCAGGCTTTGAGTTGGGACCTGGAGGTGACGTTGGGGGTCCCAGAGGAAGTCGGGCTCAGGGAGGGGCGGCAGGGTCAGGCCAGGTGCTGCTGGGGGGAGGTGGAAACGGGTGAAGGGGCAGGTTGCAGACCCCTGGAGAGGGAGGATGAAGGTGGCCGGAGCTTCCAGACGGGGGCCTGGCGATGTCCCTGGCGAGGGAACAGCGGGAAGCGAGGAGCAGCTGGAGGAGCAGTCGAGGCGATGGGGCCGAGCAGGGCGCCCTGCTCTGGGAGAGGAGAGGGGGCGCTGCGGGGCCGGTCGGTGCACAGCCCTGGGTCTGGGGCGGGAAGGTGCCGAAGCTCCGGGGGCTTGCCTGCCTAGAGGGGTGGGGTGTGGGGGGCGGCCAGGCCCGGGACCCTTCGGCTCCGGCCGGTGGCAGCCCGCGCCTGCCAGAAACACGCAAAGCCCACGCCGGGTCCCAGCAACTCTCGGGGCCGGGGGCGTGTGCCTGCGCGGGCGGGGCGGCGAGCGCGCCCCCGGACGCCGAGCGCGGCCCCGAGCGGGGCGCGTCTGCAGCTGACCCGGCGGCGATCGCCCCGCCCAGGCCCCGCCCCGCCCAGGCCCCGCCCCCGCGCACGCCGGCGCGGCCCACGTGACCAGCCCGGGTGCAAACAAGCCCGTCAGCTGACCCGGCCCGACTGCGCCGTCATCCAGGCTATAAGCGCGCGACCTCCCGGGCGCTCAGCTCCGACCCGGCCGCCGCCGCCATGCAGCCCCCCAGCCTGCTGCTGCTCGCCCTCGGCCTGCTGGCGGCGTCCGCCGCCGCGCTGGTCAGGTGAGATCCGCGGGTCCGGACTGGTGCTCGGGGCGCCCCCGTGACCTCCGCGCTCCCTGCGCCCCCCACGTCCCCTCCGTTCGCCCCACACCCCCTGCGCGCTCCGCGTGCCCCCGGACTCCTCGGGTGACCCCCGTGCGCCCCCGCCCTCCCGCCCAGAGCTGGCATCCCGCTGCGGTGCCCCGCGCGGCCTCCTGCAGGACCCACCCTCGGGCGAGGCCGGGGAGCTCTGCAGGTGCAGGGTTCACTCGCCAAGTGCCCCCGCCAGCCGGGCGACCGCCCCCCCTACCTCCTTGTGGGGTCAGGAGGGAGGGTGGCTGTAGCTCCGGGCCTCTGTCCAGCCTCCCAGGACAGGTGGGTTGGGGTGCCTATTCTGAGGGTTCCCGTGTAGAAGTCGGGAGACGCAGGCATTGGCCCCGGAGGTCCCTGAACCTGGGCAAGTCTTCTTCCCACTTGGAGCCCCCCTTGGCTAAACTGGGCTTGCCCCGGCCTGTCCCGTGGGGTCTTCCCACGGCCCATGCGCTGAGAGACCCTTGCGAGGACCCTCGGAGGCCCAAGAGACAGGAGGGAGTTAGCCTGAGAAGAGGGCCCGGTGAGTGGCCCAGCTGGCTCCCTAGGAGGGGGCGCCTCACCCTCGGCTGGGGCTCTGGCCCCGTGAGGACCACGCCTCCCTCAGGCGTAGGGGCCTGCACCTCTGTGCCAGGTGAGGTCACCGGCTGCCAGGCCTGGACCAGAGCTGTGCCACGCTGTGCCAGCCAGGCTGAGGAGGGGCCCCTCGGCCCCCACTCTCCGACCCTTGCGAGGCTGCCTGCTCTTCCAGCAGGGGGAGGGGGGCTGTGGGGACCCTCTGCTGCTCCTGCCCGCACCCTTTCCCCCGTCTTTGTATCAGGCCTAGGCAGGCATTCTTCCGTCTCTGCTGTGGGCAGATGGGTGAGGTCATAAGGGCTGTAGGGCTGGCTGCGGGCCAAGTGGGGTGAGCCTTGCCAAAGGGCTGCCCTGCGTGGGCTTCTCTGTGGGCCGCGACTTGGGGGTGAGTAGCCCCAATTGGGATAGTTGTGGGGGAGCAGCTGCAGGCCTGAGCCTGCCCCAACCCCACTCACAGACCTCCCCCGAGGGATGGAGAGCAGTGGGGGCCGGAGCCTGGGGCTTTTGGGCGGGGCAGGTGAGCCACAGCCCCTCACGCCTGCCCAGGTCTTTGGGACTGATGGCCTCAGTTTCCTTGGTTGCTGGAGGTCCTGTCCCGCTGCCCCCCAGGCAAGAGCCTCAGGCCCTTCCAGCCTACCACCTCTTAGGCAAGAGCCCCATCTTCCTGGAGCACGCCCTTGGCATGTCAGGAATAGCCAGCCGTGACCTTGAACAACTCCCAGATCCCCAGGCTGGGAAGACATTTCATCCAAGTGGTTCACTTTGCTCAGGTGTGCTTTCCCGCCCTGCCTCCTGGACCATGGGAGCAGGACGCAAGCTCAGACCCAGGAGACCTGGGATCCGGGGGAGGGGCCCCTCCCACCCGCCCCCTGCTCGGTGGCAGAGCCCAGTGCACATCAGAACCAGGACACCTGACCTCAACCCCAGGTGCCCTCCTGTGGGGCAGACCGCCAAGGCCACCCCAACTGGGCGTGTGCACAGGGTGCAGGGGGTCCTGTGGGGGTGCTCCCAGCAGGGTGCCGCGGGGCATACATGGCACAAGGCATGGCACAAGGGAGCACAGACGCCCGGCTCTCCAGGTGCATGCAGTCCTTGCCCTCCCGGGTTCTGTGTCATGGTGAGGAGTGACAGAACATTAAATAACCGAGGTCACTGCACTGTGGGCTCGGGGTGATGGAAGGAAACAGGGTGACAGGGTAGTCAAGGACTTCTTAGAGCGGGGGCATTGGAGTCCCAGCTGATGCCAGGAGGTTGCCACCCCGGGGAGGTCAGGCAGGGGAGGTGGGGACCTTGTGAGATAAGGTCTGGGTGGAGAGCAGACGAGGCCAGAGGGCCAGGCCAGGTGAATGGGATGGCTCAGAGGTCTTCAGGCAGGGGTGACAGCTGACCACCGACGCCTAGCAGACCCCACTGTTAGGGCTTCAGCTTTGTTACAGAAGACACCAGAGTGGGGACAGGAGACGAGGGGGGGTCTCTCAGAGCCCCTGGTGGCCAAGGAGGGGGAGAGGCAGGTGCTCTCCGCCTCCAGCTCCCATGATTGGATATGGGAGCAGAGGGTCCAGGAGGGAGACGGAGGTGAGCCCCGCCCTAAGGCACCCCGACCCCTCTTTACAGAATCCCACTGCACAAGTTCAAGTCCATCCGCCGGACCATGTCGGAGGTGGGGGGCCCCGTGGAAGATCTGATCGCCAAGGGCCCCATTTCGAAATACGCCCAGGGGATGCCTGCTGTGACTGGAGGGCCCATCCCCGAGATGCTCAAGAACTATATGGACGTGAGTGTAGCGGGGTGTCGGCTTGGAGCGGGGGCCGGGCTGAGCGCAGCACTGCATTAGACAGGAGCTGGCCTTTAAGACAAGTTCTGGGGGAGCCGGCATGTATTTTGGTGAAAAACCCTTGTTCTCAGCAACCAGCACTTTTGAGCCTTTCACCTGTCCTGTGGGGGAGGAGCTTTCACTCAGCCACACCCTCTGCCAGGTTGAGGCGTCTCACCTGCTGTGGGGTTTGCACAGCCCCAGGCTCTCCTGTGCCGCCGAGAGGGCGGTTTGGGGTGGCCTTGGCACTTCCGTGACATCTCCTTATGTGTGCCACCATCGGCTCAGAACCGGGCAGGTGTCTCCTCCTTGAGGCCAGCCTGTGGGGAGTGGGGACTGCGCTCCCCTCTACAGATGAGGGCGCTGGGTCCAGGGGCTGCCAGCTGAGCCGGAGGCAGGCCTGCCCTGAGAGGCTGCAGGGTGGGGCGCTGGGGAGTCCTAGAGATTGGGTATCTGGGCCTGCCTGCTGGGGTGTAACTAACTGCCTCAGCGCTTGCGTCCCTACCCGCCCTGCTAGAAGACCTGGGACAACCTATGACCCAGCCTGTGCTATTGCTCCTTGAGTAGGAAATAGATGCAGAGGTGGAACGTTCTGGAAGCCACACAGCAAGCTGGGGCCAGGTCTGCCTACTCCCAGCTCTAGGGACATCCTGTCTGTGTGCCCTGGCCCTGAGACTTAGGCAGCCAGCCTCTCGCTGCCATCCAGCCCCTGGTCCACCTGGGGTTGGGCAGGTGGCTGTGCCCTCTGTCCTGCCTGGCTGGAGCCCTGGCCATGCCAGGAATCGAGCCTCACAGGCATGTGACCAGGGCCAACTGACCAGTTCCTGGTTCCCCCGGTGCCCACACACACAGCGATTTGCTGAGTCATCTCACCCTAATCTGGACACTTCTGTTGGGTCATGAGTCGGCAGCTGCTGGCACTCCCTGGAGCCAAGTGGCCAGAGAACAATGTCCCGGGGGAATTGACGCCAGAATCCTGTGGCGACCAGTGTCCCAAGGCCCCCTCCCCAGGGAAGGGGGTGCCCAGGCAGGCTGGGCCCAGAGGGCCCCGAGTTCAAGAATGCCCACAGCCTGTGGCCTGTGAGAGGGCCAAGGACGGGGCTTCCCTTCGAGGCTGAGAGGGGCACCTGCCCTCCCCACCCCCAGGCTGCCCCTGCCCCCCATGTGTACAGGTGGGGAACTGAGGCCCAGAGCAGTGAAGCCTCCTGGGCGCACCTTCTCCCCTCGGCCCCCAGACCCCTCCCCCTGGGAGCCGTGCAGGCCTGGCCCCATGGGGCAGGAGCAGGGCAGGAACTGAGGCCCCAGAGTCAGGCCCTGACTCGGCCCCCATCCTGGGGAGGCAGACTCTCCCCTCCCAGGGCCCCGGGGCCCTGCACCCCTGCACTCCTGCACCACAAAGGCCCTTCTTGCCCGAGGCTGAGGAAGCTGGCAGAACCCATCCTGACTCCCACTGGACCACTCGTTTCTTTCCAGTGGGCGTCTTCCCGGTCAGGCAGGGGTGGCGCTGTGCCTGGGGGTCTGGGGAGGGGCGGCCCCGGACCCTGGGGGCCCTGACCCTGACCTGGGCCACCTGAGGCCTGGCTCCCGGTACAGCCAGTGGACTTCTCTCGGGCCCAGTGAGAGGGGTGCCCCTCCCTGGCCCTGATGGACGCTGCCCCCGCCCCCAGGCCCAGTACTATGGGGAGATTGGCATCGGGACCCCCCCACAGTGCTTCACCGTCGTCTTTGACACTGGCTCCTCCAACCTGTGGGTCCCCTCGATCCACTGCAAGCTGCTGGACATCGCCTGCTGTAAGCCACACTGCGTCCTTCTGCCCCAGACGCCCCTCTCCCATGGGCTTGGGAGCAGGCAGGGAGGTTGGGGGCCCGGGGTGGGGGCACACAGCGCTTGTCTGCCCCCCACACACATGCACTCTCCCCACGTGCCTGGGGGCCTCGTCCGGTCCTGGGATGTGGCCGTGGGCTGGCCGCCAGGGAGGAGAGCAGCCGCAGACCTCCAGTGGCCCTGCCTTGGCAACTCGTGCAATGTGCTTGTCCCAGCTCTCGGCCACACCAGGCAGGCCCAGCCCCAGGGCACCCGCTTTCCCGGTGAACCTGTTCCTGCCAGCCTTGTTTCATCAGGCTGGGAACGTGGTGGCCAAGGATGGGGCGAGCCGTGGCCAGCCGCCTGCTGGGCTGAGACCAAGGCTGGGGGTAGCAGCCCGCTGTCCTGGGCCCACCCAGACCCTGGGAGGGCTCCTAGCGGCTGGGGGTCGGAGGCCGGCGGCTGCGCTGGGGCGCAGGCTGACGGGTTCCCTGGTCGTGCAGGGATTCACCACAAGTACAACAGCGGCAAGTCCAGCACGTATGTGAAGAATGGCACGTCCTTTGACATCCACTACGGCTCGGGCAGCCTCTCGGGGTACCTGAGCCAGGACACCGTGTCGGTGAGTGCCCCGGGGTCCATGCATGACAGGGCCAGAGGGCCGCCCAGGGCAGGGGTCATGGCTTGCTCCCTGGAGGGGCTGCTCATTCTAGAAGGCCAGTAGCAGTCAGCTGAGCAAGGTGGGGAGCTGAGAGAGAGCCTGCGTGCTTGGTGGTGACAAAACAGAGGAAGGGGCCGGGCACTTACCTGGACCGCCGCAGGCTTGGAAGGGGGACGTGGGGTGGGAGTTGCTGGCATGGCCGGGAGGCAGCGCCTGCACAGTTGCTGAGGCATGGGCACTCCGGCACAGGCCTGGGAACAGGACCTGGTGAGGGGCTGAGGGAGAGGCCTCCTGTCAGGCTCCCAGGTGAGGACACAATGGGAAGATGGGGTTTCATTCTGATGTGTTGGGTTTGAGGTGCTGGCTGGGGGCTTTGGGCCAGGTCTGGATGGGGACCCTGTAGCCAGGGAGGCTAAGGGAGGACACAAGTGTGCAGGAGTCCCTCTGGGGCACCTACCGATGACACCAGGATGGGGGGGGGGAGAACCAGGGGTGGCCGTCGGGGGCCCTGCCTGCACTAGAGGGTCTTTGGGACCCAGTGCAGGACATGCTCCCCCTAAGGAGAGGTCAGTGGGCTCTTGACGGTTCTGCCACCTCTGCGTGTCTGGGCATGGAGCTGCCTTGGTCTGGAGTTCTGGGGGGATGAGGAGCAAAGAGGAAGACGGGCCCGTCCCAGCCTCGGGGGGGGCAGGAAGGCAGCAGAGCCTCCCGCAAGGCCAGGGGCCTGGGGCCAGTTCCTGCTGATGTGCCCCTTGTCCAGGGTGGGTGGGCTCGGGCAGCCCCTGCGGTGGCTTGCACCTGTGCTGCTGGCATGTGGACCCGCGGGGACCTTCCCGCGACGCTTCAGCACCTTGCCGGGCACACTCCGGGGTCTCTCGGGCTGAAACAGGATGTTGCCCAACACGTTCCCCCCCTCCGGTGTCACCCCACACAGCCGTTTCTCCCCCACATCCTGCTCCTCTCTGCAGCCTTGGCTGGGTGGGGGAGGGGCAGCATGGCCTGAGTCTGCCTTGGGGTCAGGTCATGGGGTCCCATCTCTGGGGCCTGCGCCCAAGAGCTGAGCTGTTCCCGATGGGCATGGGCGTGGAGTGAGGGCTGGCCTGAGCCAGGGCTCCCCTCTGCTCCTGTCCACCACTTGTGAGTGTAGTCCTGACCCAGTATGGACCCCCGCAGCCCCGTCCCCAGGGTCGCCAGCCCTTTCTTCCGGCCCCCTGTCCGTCTTGAGTCCCGACTGCGAGATGATAGGCAGTGACTGAGCTGGGTTTCGTAGCTGTGCTCCCACATGCGGGGCCAGTGGGGTGTCCCGCCTGGGGCCTGGGGGTTGGGCCTGACGTCCGTGTGGCCCCCTGACCCCCGGCGCCCTGCAGGTGCCCTGTAACTCGGCTCTGTCGAGCCTGGGTGGCGTCAAGGTGGAGAGGCAGGTGTTCGGGGAGGCCACCAAGCAGCCGGGCATCACCTTCATCGCAGCCAAGTTTGACGGCATCCTGGGTATGGCCTACCCCCGCATCTCCGTCAACAACGTGCTGCCCGTCTTCGATAACCTGATGCAGCAGAAGCTGGTGGACAAGAACATCTTCTCCTTCTACCTGAACAGGTAGGCGGGGCGGGTGCAGTGCACCCCCACTCCTGGGCCCCCTCCTCCCAGCCCAGCCGAAACACAGCAGGGAGGGTTTGGGCTGCAGCCTCCCATGTCCACCTCCAAGCACAGGCCACAACCCCTGACCTCTGACCTCTGGCTGGAGGCAGGTACGATGGCCCTTTCCCAGAGGAGCCAGCGGCCCCCTAGAGGAGGCTGTATCTTGCCCGGGTCTCCCTGGGGGAGGCGCTTGGGCCGTGGGTCCAGGCCCCTGGTTGGCGGGCCTCGCTCCTGCGAGAACCAGAGCTGGGTCTGGTGATAGCCCAGAGGACACCGCCCTGATCTGGGACAGACACCCTGGAGGTGAGGGGGCCGGGGCTCCCCACGGCAGGTGGCCCGGTTAGGTCTGGAGAGCTGGGTGGTGGACAGAACAGGAAGGGCGGGCCTGGGGCGATGCTGTTTGGGAAGACGGTGGGCCGGCCCCGTGCCAGAGCACAAGGGTCAAACAGTAGGTGACCCGTGGCCGGGTGACCTTGGGAAGGCCTCACTCCTCCAGCCTCAGTCTCCTCTTCTGAGGACTGTGATGCAGGTGTGCTGAGGGGTGGGGGGTGGGCATGGGTGAGCCGGGCAGCCTGCTGGACCCACACGCCCTGTCTCCAGGGCCCACCACCTACACCACCCTTGGCCCTCGGGGTCTGACCCCCACTTCTGGCGGAATTCCAGCCCAGAGGCGGCCTCTTCCTCAGCCCTGGCTCTCGGCCTGCCCTCTGCCCCTTGTGTGGGTATCCACTCAGCAGGGCAAGCACCCCACTAGGTCCCGGGTCCCAGATGAACTGGGCAGGGTCGTTTTGCTGTCTGACCTTGGGCCTGGTTGGGGGCAGACGAGGTGAGGATGGCCCGGGAGGTTGCCAGGCCCGGGCTTGGGGACGGACAGCCCAGCGCTGACTCCCTGGTGATGGGCTCAGGTGGGAGGTGGAGGTAGGGGCGAGGGAGTGAGGGGGAGTGGGCTCGCAGGACAGGTTTGGTGGGACAGGGTGAGGGGGACTGGAGGCGTGACCTGGTTTCTGCGTGGGAGGTGGAGGCCGTGCTGGTGGTAGGACAGGGTTTACCTGGTGCGTCTGAGTGCAACGACCTGCCAGGAGCACCATGCTGAGCTCAAAAAATAAGTCAAGGTAAGAGACTAGAGTTGGGGAGAGGAGCCCGCCAGCTCAGGCGGAACAGAAAAGCTGAGAGCTGAAGAGGCAGCAAGTCATGGGTGGATTGGAGCATAGAAGCAGTAGGTGCAAAGGCCCCGGGGCAGGACCAAGCTGGCGCCTCTCTCAGGGTTGCCTGGCGCCCCCTCCTGGAAGCCCTTCGTGGTTTTCCCTCCAGGCAGACAGGGTTTTCCTCCTTGGACTCGAAGCATCCCCTTACGCGTCTGCCCACCCGCCTGACCCTGACTGTCCTCAGCTGGTGGGCCAGGAGCCCCTCAGGCACAAGCAGGATCCCTACCGCCAGGAATGGGGCTTGGCCTGCAGTCTACCCACGGTGTGGGATTGGAGCCCCTCCCCTGGGGGAGAAGGAAGTTCCGTTCTTTGTGTCCCTTCTAGATCCTTCCATGCCTGGGCCCAGGAAGGTCCCTGCTCTGGCAGGCCCTCCCAGATTACCCCAGCGACCCCTTACCTCAGACCTCCTGTCCCACCCAGCCCTCAGGCGGGGCATGCAGTGGGCAGGGACTTGACCCCCTTCCTCTCCTGCCAGGGACCCTAACGCGCAGCCGGGGGGTGAGCTGATGCTGGGCGGCACCGACTCCAAGTACTACAAGGGCTCGCTCGCCTACCTCAACGTCACACGGAAGGCCTACTGGCAGGTCCATATGGAGCAGTGAGTCCTGGGCTGTGCGGGGGGCGGGGGGGCAGCCCTTCCCCTGTGCCCAGCCGGCAGGCCCTGGGGCTCAGAGGGTGGTGGTGATGGGATGGGCCCGGCCCCGTGCCCCATCGGCCCTAGGCGCCTCTTGCCACCTCCCGGTGCCCTCTTCTCCACATGGCTACACGGGCGGCTATGAACCCGCTCGGTCCCTCAGCCCCTGGCGCCCGACCCTGCTCACGGCGAAATCCTGAGAAAGAAGAGGGGGACGCATCCCTCCGGGGCTGTGGCGGGCACGGTGGGGTCCAGGTGGCCCTGGGAGCTCACAGCCACCTCCCCTGCAGGGTGGATGTGGGCAACAGCCTGACCCTGTGCAAGGGGGGCTGTGAGGCCATCGTGGACACGGGTACCTCCCTCATTGTGGGCCCCGTGGAAGAGGTGCGCGAGCTGCAGAAAGCCATTGGGGCCGTGCCGCTGATCCAGGGAGAGGTGAGGGGGCCGGGTGGGAGGGGCAGGGGTGCCCAGGCTGTCCCCCCCGGAACTGATCAGGGAGAGGTGAGGGGGCCGGGCGGGAGGGGCAGGGGTGCCC